GAGGAGGAGGAGGAGGAGGAGGAGGAGGAGGAAGGACTGTGAGGTCCTTGGAGTTCCCTGAGCTTGTTGGTTTCTTCGGAGACATTTCATGACCCAACTAGGTAATATCATCAGTGCTAGGAGGCCGGTTTGCAGAGGTGAGAGGAGGAGGGGGATGACTGTGGGGTCTTCGTGCTCTCTGAGCTCGGCTGTTTTCTTGCAGACGTCTCATGACCCAGCTAGGCAACGTCCTCCATGCAATCTCTAACGCTGGGTTTCGCCTCCTCCATGCAACTCGGGCCTCCCTAACCCCAGAAACATCTTCTACTCTTCTGTGGACCCCCCAACCCTCCCCAAAAAACAGACGACCCCCTTCAACCCCCTCCTTACTGTGCCGAGAGCAATAGTCTTCTTGACTCGGTATTGCTTCCGGGGGTCCAGCTTGTAGAGGTGCTGGTCGGTGATCAGTAGGGCTCGATCCGTCCGTTTGTTACACCGGTTGATCTGGGGAGATTGGGAGATGGTCAAGAAGGCCCCCTACCCTGAGAAAAACCAATTGGAACCCCCCCCTCACCCACCAGATCAAGGAAAAGAGGGGAGACAGCCCACCCCGTTTGAGCCCCGGAGGTCAATGGGGGGACCAGCCGCCGTCCTGTGGGTGCTTCTTGCTTGCAATGAAACCAGCTTTGGGCTATTGACTGTCGTCTTGGAGGTGTTACCATAGAGATTTCCAGGGATAGAGCGACTTGTCTAACTTGGTTGGGGAAAAGGGACTTGGCCGTGCCACATCTGTGGAGGCCATGCTTCTAATTTGATGCTCCGGAGGTGACCTCATAGTGGGCTCCAGGAATAGAGCGGCCATCTTGAACTGGGCACCTGCTCGAGGTGTTGTCATAGAGACTTCCTCGCATAGAGCGGCCTTCTCTGACTTGGCACCTTCCAGAGGTTGGGGGACTTTGCAGATGCCATGCTTCCAACAGGCACCTTGGAGCTGGTATCATAGAAACCTCCAGGGATAGAGCGGCCTTCTGTAATCTGCAGTTCCTCAGGTGTTAGTGGAATTGGCAGCGCCACACCAGTGGAGGCCATGTTTCTAACTGCTGGAGGTGGCATCATAGAGACCTCCAGGGATAGAACGGCCTTTTCTAACTAGGCACTTCCAGATGTTGGGAGGCTTGGCAGTGCCACGGCTGTTGACGCCATGCTTCTAAGTGACACCTTGGTATCATAGAGACTTCCAGGGATAGAGCGGCCTTCTCTACCTTGGTTGGGGGGGGGGGGACTTGGCAATGCCAAACCTGTGGAGACCATGCTTCGAATTGATACTTTGCAGGTGGCATCATAGAGACCACCAGGGATAGAGTGGCCTTCTTGAAGCCGGCCGTTCCCAGATGTTAGGGGAATTGGGAATGCCACAACTGTGGAGGGCATGTTTCTAACTGGTCCTCCCCCCCCCCCTCTCTCCCTCCCTCCCTCCCACTCTCCATTCATCATTCATCCTCCTTCCCCCCCATGTGCGTATGTATGCGTGTGTCTGTCAGAGTCAGCAACTTGGGGGGTATCTTGGACTCCAACTCCCAGAATCCCCCAGCCAGCCTGAGCTGCGTGTGCCTCTCACCTTCCGCACATGGCATGAGAACAAGATGGAACTGAAGTGCATCTTCTCTTTCAGGGTGGAGACCTGTTTGAGGAACTGGGCAGCCAAGGCTGAATTCTCCTCCGCCTGGGGAAGAAGAGAGAGGAGAGGAGGTGGGTTATTTCTGATGGGGTGGGGGGGGACAAAGGGGAGGAGGAGGACTGGGGGGGGTCCTTGGTGGGCTCTGACCTGGGTAGTTTCCCCCCCTTCTCTCTCTCTCTCTCTCTTTCTATATCTATCTATCTACCATCTATCAATCTCCCTTTTTCTATATCTATCTGTCTATCTATCTATCTCTCTATCTATCTCCCTCTCCCTCTCTTTCTTTCCATATCTATCTATCTATCTATCTATCTATCTATCTATCTCTCTATCTATCTATCTATCCATCCATCCATCCATCCATGTCACTCTTTCTATATCTCTCTCTGTCTATCTGTCTATCTCCCTCTTCTCCCTCTCTCTCTTTCTTTCTTTCCATATCTATCTATCTATCTATCTATCTATCTATCTATCTATCTATCTATCTATCTATCTATCTATCCATCCATGTCACTCTTTCTATATCTCTCTCTGTCTATCTGTCTATCTCCCTCTTCTCCCTCTCTCTCTCTCTTTCTTTCTTTCTATATCTATCTATCTATCTATCTATCTATCTATCTATCTATCTATCTATCTATCTATCTATCTATCT